CAGGTGTCATCTTGTCCAGGAAAGCCTGTATTAGGTTTCGGGACATTGTCAGAGCAGGTGCCATGAATTATCTCTCTGTGCACTTCTTTGTTAAAGTTTTTTTCTCCCTTGTAATCTACCTTTCCATCCTTTCTTTTCCACTCTCTCCAGCCTAGAGGCAGAATCTTGTCCTATCCAAACTGCAATGGGACACTGAAAGAGTATTACTTTCCTTAATGGCTGAAGCGGTTGCAGAGGGAGGAAAGAGAAGCACTTCACTTTGTGTCAGGGTAAGGAAGAGGTAGGAGGCCTCGGTAGCAGAACTACTGTCATCATAGCCATGCGGTTGAAATATTCACAGAAGTTTGTCAGCTGATGTGCAGTCTCTTAGTTTATGACAACATTTCAGAGAAAGGGGAAGTAGAACTACCGCAGTCCTCTCTTTGTTGAGGAGGGAATGCCAGCCAGAGCAGATTTGTGGTCACACATGCACACAGTAGTACAGATGCTGAATGTAGCTGCACTTATAATAACACAACAATTCTCAGAAGTTGATTGCACTTTTATCGTATGTGACGCCTCTTTTTTTTTGGCAAAATGTCCATGTAAATGTCCACTCGAACAACAAAATAATTGTGTTCAAACTGAAAATTGAAAAGTCCCCTTTTTTAAGAAAACAACAATTCTATATTAGATAATAATACACTGTCAGTTAAACATTTCAAGGGTTTATAAATAATAAATGTTCTTTCGAAGATTAATAACAATCTCATCCAACCAGATTATGTATGAGGCTAGGATATGATTATGATCATGATATGATGGTTAGTAAGATTGTGGGATGTAATGATAGCATGTTCATATTTGTTGCCCATGTAATGATCAATATGCATGCACCCCCTGTCGCTGCACTGAAATAACACGGGGATCTTGAACAGAAGAGGGTTTTTCATTGACTGTTAAAAATACTCCACTACCATGCCTGAGAACCTGTGAAGGGCAGACTGGCTGCTTGTGATGGTACAGTACAAGAGCTGTTATGGCTCTGCTGATGGATGTTGTGCAATACCATTGTTACAGGGTCAGAGCAGAGGTCATGCCTCTGCCTTGATCCAATTAAGCACTAAAGACAGTGACAACAATGAGAAGGAGCCTTGAGTGAAATTTCCCTCTGCCATAGTGCAGGTCCGTTCAAAGTTCCCTTTCATTCCCATTGAAAACAACTAAAAAAGGAAACTAGGCTGCTCCTGCTTCCCTTTGAGATAAATGGAAAGTAGCAGGACAAATTATGGAGGGAACCATTACACTCTAGTACTGTGGTTCTCAACTGGTCAGTCCTCGGGACCCACCTTTTTCCTTTGTCAATAAATCGCGACCTGAAATTTTGAACCACTCAAATCTCCAACAAAAAATCGTGCTGTAATATACGCTTTTCAGCATACAATATTAATTAAAGTGAAGTACAGTGCATATATCCCTTATATGCTTTCACATAACTAAAGTATGCTTTTAAAAAAGGTTTAATGAGATGATGGTCAAGTTTCTATAATCAAAGCTGAACTGTATAACATAAAAAGGCACACTTGTATTGTACTCAATAAAAAGGCAGACTTGGAGCCAATCCTGCAAATTCACCACATGTGAAAAACATGACATACAAACCCTAGAAGGGGGGTCTGGGGCGATTCTCCCCCAGGAGATTTTTAGAAATACTAACATATAAACTATTCTGGTACACTCTGAGAAGAAAATAAATAAATCTATTACTACCCGACATATTAATAATATGTTATGCCATTGTTAGTTTTTCACTTTGTTCTGACAGCTGAACTTGCTGCTCCACACAGAGAGAAGAGTAAAGAGGAGATAGTCTGTGTGAATTACTTTAAATTAGGCGCTTTCACACCGCAGTACTTTTCCCACTTTAGTTCCGATATAGTTCCGAAATGTTGCGTGCACACCAAAAAACTCCAGAACTAAAATTAGTTCATGAGAACCTTTTTACCCCCTTTTCCGTCCCTGCTAGAGAGCAGGGACTTTCATGGGAGAAAAAGGTTCCTATGTCTGATTGGCTGGGCGGAATGCAAACCACGCCCCGTAAAACTCCCAAAACGCTTTATGAAGCCGCCATTTTATTATCCTCGCATTAGCATTATTAGCATTAGTCCAGCGCACAAACGCAGAGAGACTAACTTATGGCAACACAAAATAAAACATGGGAGCGGTGGAGATGAGGAGGTGTCGGCGTTCTGGCGATTTACTCGGAAGGCTTCAGTAGAAGCCAGTCCCTAACTCCGGGGACTTCCGGCCAGGGACTTCGGGTGGCAGTATACGCCGTGAAGCTGTTTGCGGCCTGCCAGTAAACCCAAAGCAGAAGAAAAAAAAGTGACGTCAGCGGCTTAATTTGCCTAATCCTCCCCCAGGGACTTATTCCGGTGTGAACGCGATCTGTACTTAGTTCTAAAGAGCTCTGATGAACTAAGTTCTGATGAACCTTTGTGGGAAAAGTACTGCGGTGTGAAAGCGCCTATTAGCCGCGTTCACACCGCAGTACTTTTCCCACTTTAGTTTCGATATAGTTCCGAAATGTCGCGTTCACACCAAAAAGAGCCGGAACTAACATTAGTTCATCAGAACCTTTTTACCCCCTTTTCCGTCCCTGCTAGAGAGCAGGTACTTCCGTGAGAGAAAAAGGTTCCTATGTCTGATTGGCTGGGCGGATTGCAAACCATGCCCCGTAAAACTCCCAAAACGTTTTGTGAAGCAGCCATTTTATTATCCTCGCATTAGCATTATTAGCATTAGCATTAGCCCAGCGCACAAACACAGAGACTAACTTATGGCAACACAAAATATAACATGGGGGCGGTGGAGATGAGGAGGTGTCGGCGTTCTGGTGATTTACTCTGAAGGCTTCAGTAGAAGCTGCTGGGAGTCGCAGCAGCTTCTACTGAAGCCAGTCCCCAACTCCGGGGACTTCCGGCCGGGGACTTCGGGTGGCAGTATACGCCGTGAAGTTGTTTGCGGCCTGCCAGTAAACCCAAAGCAGAAGAAGAAGAAGTGACGTCAGCGGCTTCATTTGCCTAATCCACCCCCAGGGAATTTATTCCGGTGTGAACGCGATCTGTACTTAGTTCATGAGAACTACAGAGTTCTCATGAACTAAGTTCTCATTAACCTTTGTGGGAAAAGTACTGCGGTGTGAAAGCGCCTACTGTGGATAAGGGTAGATAGCCCCATTGTTCTGTGACCTGTCAATAATCAAACCGGGGGTCATATTTCATTGTGTGTTCATTTTGATCTGAAGTTGAACCCATGGATGTATAAAGAATAACTTTACCGGAAAGTTATTCTCCGTGGGGACTTCCGGCAACAATCTTGATTCTGATTAGCCAGAAGACTCGAAAAAACATCCGCTATAGGCGCATTCACACCGCAGTACTTTTCCCACAAAGGTTAATGAGAATTTAGTTCATGAGAACTCTTTAGTTCTCATGGACTAAGTACAGATCGCGTTCACATCGGAATAAGTTCCTGG